GCATGACATCTAAATTGTGACGGATGAGAAGGTCTTTCCAATAAGGCAACTCCCAGAATATGCTCCTCTTTGTCCACTTATGGGTATCACAATACCCATATGGCTCTTGGTTTGGCTCTTCCATAGCCGTAGGAAAACGTCGAACCCGGTTATAAATTTCTTCACCGGTCAATCTCGGGGGTGGGCTCTCTCGTACCGCTCTGCCTCTAATGAAAGACTTCTTGTCCTTTCGATATCGGTGCCTTTCCGGGAGAAACTTGCGGTGACAATCAAAGTAACTTCCTTTTTTGCTGTAACTAAGCCAGTTGGCACCTGATTTCTCCATACATATCGGACATCCCATCAAACCGTGTGTGCTCCATCCCGAAAGCATGCCATAGGCAGGGAAGTCGCTAATGGTCCAAATGATGGCAGCTTTCATGATAAACATTTTATCTGATGAAACATCATAAGTTGGTGTCCCAACGGCCCACAGTTCTTTCATCTCCTCGATAAGGGGTTGGAGATAAATGTCTATCTTTCGCCCAGGATCCTTGGAACCCGGACAAATTAAAGACAAAAATATGAAATGACTTTTCATGCACATGTCGGGAGGGAGATTGTAAGGAGTTAACATGACCGGCCAACATGAATAGTTCTTGCCAAACCTGCCAAAAGGAGCAAATCCATCTGAGCACAATCCCAGCCGCACATTTCGTGGCTCCATAGCAAACTGAGGATGACAGCGGTCAAAGTGTCTCCAGGCTTCACAGTCCGAAGGGTGAGCCATCATACCCTTGTTGGTTTCGTGCTCAACATGCCATGTCATGTGTTTCGCAGTAGCAGTCGAAGCGTACATCCTCTGCAGTCGAGGAGCTATTGGGAGGTAATACAGTTTAGACAGTGCAGACCTATGTCGTGGTTTCTTTTTACCTTGACGAACAGGTTTGTATCTGTCTCCACCACAGAACTTGCAGAACTCAAGTGCCTCATCCTCCTTCCAGAACAACATACATCCTTCCGGACACGCATCAATTTCAACACAAGGTAGCCCCAACTTAGACATTAACTGCTTCATGTGGTAATATGAATCTGGAAGGGTATGATCTCGCGGTAGCATCCCTCCTACTGACTGCAAGACTCTATTCATGCAAGTTTCAGGGAGACTGTATTCGGCTTTTATGTTCATGAATTCAGTAACGGCGGATAGCTGAGAGTATCCCTCACAATCAGCATACAGAGGTTGGTCGGCAGCTTTTAGAACATCCTGAAATCTCTCAGTCAAACCTTCATCCACATAAGGTTGATAAAATGTCGGATTTTCATCCGCATCTGGTTGATACGAGGTTGAGGCTTCAGGGGGGTCGTTAGGTGGTTGTGGGGGATTGAACTGAGACATCGGTACACCGTATGCGTCATATACCATTTGTTGGTCCCACCTCATTTCAGCACGGTCTCCCCACGCACTCATCTCTGGAGGGACGTAACGAGACGAACCTACCGTTTGTGGTATAACAGATGGATCCAAAGGTTCGCCGTGAGAAGTCCAATTATAATAATTGGGAACAAAACCGACCGCGTACAAATCATACCCAACTTCGTGTGGGTCTTTAAATTTGAGATTTTTACACTTTGAACATGGACATCTTATTTTATCACCACTCATATAAGCCGGATGTTCAAGTGCAAATTCAATAAATTCCCCGACTCCCTCGAGAAAATTTGATTGCATTCCGTACAATACCGCATCTTTATCATACATCCAACTTCTATTTTGTTTATACATTATGCCTGAATATTATAATAAAAAAGTATACACGTTCAAATACTAACAATAATACTAACAAATTTTAAGTGAGTTATTTCACTAAATAATCAACTAACTAATTTTCACTAAATTAAATGAAATGCACACAATTCACAACAATAATTCACAAAATATAAGTAATTACCTAATACTTAAATTTAACTAATATTACAAAAAAATTAAGTAATTTATTAACACTACATTTAAATTAAACATACGTTTAACTAAATTTAACTAATTTATTTAGTTAAATTTAACTAAATTTAACTAGTTCATTCCGTCCTCTTTTAATGCATCACTACGTTTAAACCTACGTTTAGCTAACGAATTTTAATTAAATTATTTTTGTAAACCTACATTTAAACCTAAACTAAATTATTACGTTAATGACATTTAATGTTATTAGTACTACACAATTAACAATTCCAATTCACTAAATTAAATAATATGACCAAATTAAACCCAATAATTTGAACATGTATATAAGGTCATTTGAATTAATAAATAATACACAATTACAATAACAAGTCACAATACACTTAATTAACACATTACTAACGTACGTTTAACTAACTAATTTCAATTAACATAAAGATCACTACGTTTAAAACTACGTTTAGCTAACTAATTTTAATTAAATTATTTTATAAACCTAACAGTTTAACTAATTTTATGACATTACTACGCTTACAGTTGAATATGTTGTTAATTAATTAACAACATCACTAATTTAATAGTTTTAATAATTTAAATTGAACCAACTAATTCTGAATAAAAATAATAATTCAAATAACATACCTTAACTGCATAAATGGGGAAAATGATAGAAGACAGACTACATCCTTCGATCTTTCAAACAGATACTGTATATACTGGGAATGAATTGGTGTCGTTCTGTTGAATGAACTGCTCCTGCATATATAAAAAATTTAGTCACGGACTTAGTCACGGATTTGTCCGTCACTAAGCAATACCGTGTCCATTACGCGTCCGATCCGTGTTAATGACGTGTAAATGACGTGTAAATCAAAGTAGTCACGGACATAGTCACGGACATGTCCGTGACTAAATTTATCCGTACATAATACCGTTGCCGGATTGATTTATGGGAGATGCAAAATTATTTTTTAAATTTAGTCACGGCTGTAGTCACGGATGTGGCCGTGACTATGTCGCCGGAGTAAAACAAGCCAGGCCGGAAAATCAAACGGGCAATCGGAGGATGTTAGTCACGGACAAAAATCCGTGACTACGTGTAGTCACGGCACTAGTCACGGTAAAATCCGTGACTAATTTTTTTTTTAAATTTTCGTGACTAGTCCGTGACTAGTCCGTGACTAGGCTAGTCACGGACCAAATCCGTGACTACGGTCCGTGACTAAACGAGTGTTTTTTTGTAGTGTACATACGAGTAGTACGTTATTATTGTTTAAAGTTTACTTAGGATGTTTTCTTTTGGACTGTTTTCAATCCCAGACCAGACCAAACCAGATCAGATCAACAAATTTCAGTCTAAAAGAAAACATCCTTACTTTAAAATTCGTAGTAATTAAATTTAAATACCGACTAAGCTTAACATTTATTATTATACGTATTTAGTAATTAATATGTATTTGGTACCTTGTATAACATGTCACTTTTATAAAATTTTATATAATTGGTTAAGTACTTCACTTATTTAATAACACGTCACTTTTATAACATTTTATATAACTAACAAAATTCTTTTATTTTATTTAAATTTTTCGAAGTGTCACAAATATATTGTATGAGTATATAAGATCCTGTATAGCCTTTACCCGCATAAACTTGTAATGTTTTGACTTGTTTGTGCTTCTCCTCCTTGTTTCCGTTGGTGTTGGCCGTAGGTTATGGCTGATTTTTGCCTTGTTTGTGCTTGACCAACATTTTGTTTTGGTGTTTGGCCGAAACTTTTGTTTGTTGTTTTTGCCTGGGGAAGGTTTATCCATGTTGGATAACCTGCAGTTTTGTTTCCCTTTTGCTTGTACATTATGAACCTCTGTTTCTTTGGGTGATTTTTATAATATACTTAGATTTCATCCAAAAAATATAATAATAATAATAATAATAATAATAATAATAATAATAATAATAATAATAATAATAATAATAATAATAATAATAATAATAATAATAATAATAATAATAATAATAATAATAATAATAATAATAATAATAATAATAATAATAATAATAATAATAATAATAATAATAATAATAATAATAATAATAATAATAATAATAATAATAATAATAATAATAATAATAATAATAATAATAATAATAATAATAATAATAATAATAATAATAATAATAATAATAATAATAATAATAATAATAATAATAATAATAATAATAATAATAATAATAATAATAATAATAATAATAATAATAATAATAATAATAATAATAATAATAATAATAATAATAATAATAATAATAATAATAATAATAATAATAATAATAATAATAATAATAATAATAATAATAATAATAATAATAATAATAATAATAATAATAATAATAATAATAATAATAATAATAATAATAATAATAATAATAATAATAATAATAATAATAATAATAATAATAATAATAATAATAATAATAATAATAATAATAATAATAATAATAATAATAATAATAATAATAATAATAATAATAATAATAATAATAATAATAATAATAATAATAATAATAATAATAATAATAATAATAATAATAATAATAATAATAATAATAATAATAATAATAATAATAATAATAATAATAATAATAATAATAATAATAATAATAATAATAATAATAATAATAATAATAATAATAATAATAATAATAATAATAATAATAATAATAATAATAATAATAATAATAATAATAATAATAATAATAATAATAATAATAATAATAATAATAATAATAATAATAATAATAATAATAATAATAATAATAATAATAATAATAATAATAATAATAATAATAATAATAATAATAATAATAATAATAATAATAATAATAATAATAATAATAATAATAATAATAATAATAATAATAATAATAATAATAATAATAATAATAATAATAATAATAATAATAATAATAATAATAATAATAATAATAATAATAATAATAATAATAATAATAATAATAATAATAATAATAATAATAATAATAATAATAATAATAATAATAATAATAATAATAATATGAAGAGTAATTACACACAAGTCTTTATAATTACACTATTACACCCCCTCAATCTGTGCAGGGGAAATCACGTGCAGATTGGAACGCAAAAACTGAAAACGCTGACTAGATAAATTTTTAGTAAATATGTCTGCTAACTGATCTCGAGTAGGAACATATTTCACAGTCAAGTCCCCATGCGCTACATGTTCTCGAACAAAATGGTAATCAATCTTGATGTGCTTGTTGCGGTCATACTGAATAAGATTAACTGCAAGATAAGAGGCTGAAACATTGTCACAAAAAGTTGAACTGATGCGGTGATCCATATACCCATATCAACGAGTAATGACCGAATAACAACGAGTAATGACCGAATAAAAAATGTGTCCTGGACTGTATATGCCACTGCTCTATATTCGGCCTCTGTAGAAGATTTAGACACGATGGGCTGATTTTTGGATTTCTACGAGAGGAGATTACCGCCAATGAACATGGCGTAGCCTGTAGTGGAGCAGCACGAATCCGGACATCCAGCCCAGTCAACATCTGACTATGCCACAGTACAGTAACAGAAATAGTTAATTCCCTATATAGGACTAAAACAATAAATAAGTGCACAAATAGGACTTCCATGTTTCATAGGACTAAAAATACATTCATTGAACAAAATTACTCTTAATGAAATTCTAAATAAATTTTTAACAAAATTCCAAAAACTTTTCTACAACTACCCTAGATGCAATACGATGTACATTGTCGCTCCTGTCAGATTGTGATTATAGTCCAATTTACATCCTCCCATCGTGCCATTCGGTCGGTGTTGGGGGCCCTCAGGGATGGGGTGTCATCCTTTTTTTCTGTCGCTCCTGTGTGCCAAAACTGTCATTGCCCTCCAGCTTCACTGTCGCCCATTGCCTCACTCCGGCGTCAATGCCGCCCAACGCTTCCCTCCGGCGTCACTGTCGTCTGCCGCCACCCTCTGACCTCACTATCGCTGCCCTCCAAACCCAGTAGAAAATGTAATTTCCAAATATGTCATGAAATTGGCAAAAATTTTAAATCCATGTAAAAAGGAACATTTTCTGCCATAATATAACTGCCAATAAACAAGTGAATGCCATAATTTGGCAAAAATTGAATGCAATAAGAAAACTAGAAAAAGCAGATCTTGAAACGAAATCAGAACTTTTTTGAAATAAAAAATTAAAACATAAAGTTGATCTGCAAAAATCGAAAATTGAACAAATATGAACATATTAGCACCAACAGTTTTCATTAAACTTGGCAGTTTATCGAAAAAAACGAGATTCTTTCTGACATATTATAATCATCAACTCTACCATAAAGATGGCAAAACTTTCAAATCGAAGTAAAAATTATGTCATTACGTAATTGTAAATATTGCACAGAATTGCCAATTTTTGGCAAAACACGAAGCCAATGTCCAAAATCAAGAAAACCAAAACTTAATTGAAATATGAAATTAATGGAATCACAAAAAGAAAAACGAAACCAGCCTTCAAAAATCAGAAAAGTTTATGCCACAAATAAAATTGTAATGAAATCTGAAATTTCTTCTCAAAAAAACAAAATCAGATCAATGAAACAAAATCTGAGATCTCAGATGAATAACAGAGGAGAAGATGAACAAGAAGAAAAATGAAGAAAAAGATCGAAGGAGAAGGAGAAGGATCGGAGGAGGAGGAAGATACCTTGTGAAAGAGGCAGGGAAAGATGGGCAGCAGCGGCACACAGGAAGGAGTCATACTCCTCTCCATTTCCTTCTCTCCATTTACTCTCTCCATTTCTTTTTCACTCTATCTCTCTCCTTAAAAAACATAATTAAACCCCATCTTTTTTTTCTCCCTACCCCACCATTTCCCCATCTCACTCTATCTCTCTCCTAATGGAGAACTCCAGTAGTAACTGGAGAGGAAGAGGCAGAGAAGAGAAGAGGAGAGGAGTGCGGCTGCGATGAATAGGAGCGGCAGAGGGATATCCAGAGAGCGCATGCAAATCAGCCATGGGAGAGTCGATCGAGAGAGAAGAGTGTTGCGATTAATTCCTAGGGTGTCCCTTTATTTATATAAAATTATATAAGAGGGTATAATGGTAATCCCGAGTCCTATTTAGGGAATAAAAAGGATAATGTCTTATTTGTGAATTTAAGTTTATTTTTAGTCCTATATAGGACAATTACTATAACAGAAATGCTTTGGCCGGTTCGAAGCCAGAGACCGTGAGATATGGTGCCCTACAAATATCTCTAAATTCTCTTGACAGGAGCAAGGTGAGTAGTACGTGGAGCATGCATAAATTCAGAAACCAAATGTAAGGCATAAGTAATATCAGGGTAGGTAATAGTCAGGTATTGTAATGCACCTACCATACTACGATACTCAGTACCATCACTAAAAAGATCCCCATCTGTAAGTGACAAAGTAGTGTGAGATGTGATGCAAAAGGTCAGACACATATTTTTGCTGAGATAGAAACTTACCTTTTGAGGTGCGTCGAGCCCGAATGCCTAAAATATAATGAATATCCCCCAGATCTTTCGTGACAAACTCGCTCGATAATAAATTAATAAATTGAGTGATCGGAGACAAGGAACTACCAGTAATGAGAATATCATCCACATATAGAAGAATATAAATAACACTGGCCTGGGAGTGATAAGTAAACATGGACAATCAAACTGACTCTGAGAGAAGCCGTAAGAGAGTAAAAATCCGCTAAACCGATGAAACCAAGCTCTGGGAGCCTGTTTCAAGCCATATAGAGCCTTTCGAAGATGACAAATATGAGAAGGATAAGTGGGATGAATAGAACTTGGGGGTTGGCACATGTACACCTTTTCAGTCAATTGACCATGGAGAAAGACGTTTTTCACATCTAATTGCCGAATCGTCCAACCCAAAGAAACAACGACGGATAGAACAAGACGGACTATGGTGGGTTTGACCACTGGACTGAAAGTCTCAGAAAAATCCACTCCATCTTGTTGGTTAAAGCCTTGAGCTACCAAACGAGCTTTGTGACGCTCAACAGACCCATCTGAACGATACTTAGTTTTGTATATCCATTTACAACCAACCACATTTTTTGTTTTATCACTAGGTACAAAATCCCGAGCATGATTGGTAATTAGAGCATTAAATTCATCTGTCATAGTTGCCCGCCAGCAGGGGAGGATCTATGTACGGCTATGGTAGGCTGAAGCCCGGGGCAACTTTAAAAAAGTTCAATTTTTTTAGTGTAATTTTTTTCATTTTTTACATTTAGCCCACCCCTATAATATTTAAGCCTTGTATTATCCCTATTCAGCCCAGGACATCTCAAATTTCTAGACACGCCCCTGCTCGCCAGATTAAATTTTTGTTTGCTTGAGAAAAACAAGTGGGAATCATTAGGGAGAGCTAAAGTGTTTAAATTATTAAAAATAGTTTTGGGTTTAAAATTACCATCTTTAGCTCTCGTGCGCATGGGATGGACATTAGGAGCCACGGGGTCAGCACGGGCAGTCTGGGAAAGGGAGGCCGGTGGCGTAAGTGCGTAACGCTGTTATCCGCTGGCGGAGGTTGCTGGGAGGTTGCGTTTGAGCTGGTTTCAGATGAAGCAGGTGAATTTGGCTCAGGAGTGTTGGTCCGTGGGCTGGTTACAGGGGTGGCAGCCGGTGAAATAGGTGAATTTGGCTGAGGTGAGGTACTGTAAGAGGACGGAAGGTGCAGGGAGTTGCTGGGAGTATCGGCCAGTGGTGGGTCGGCTAAAAGTTGGAGTGGTGGTGTTGGAGTTATGTTCGGCTGTGAGGTGGTGGTGGGAGTGAGTGTCCGTGACGGAAAAGCCGCGGGTAGGGAGGCTTTAGATGACGGTTGACATAAGGTAGGATAGGGAAAAGAGGTCTCAAGAAAAATTACATCCCGACTTATATAGAAACGACCTGTTCGGGGACACCTATAGCCTTTATAGCCTGGAGCATATCCGAGAAACACACACATAATGGATCGTGGGGACAATTTATTTGATGAACTAGCTATTATATTTGGAAAACATGCCCAACCAAAACATGAAGAAATTATAATCAGGTGATTTTGAAAAAGAATCTCAAACGGAGACATGCCACACAAGATAGGTGTCGGTAAACGATTTATGACAAAGGCGGCCGTATACAGAGCATCTACCCAAAAAAAATGGAGGTAATTGTGCCTCGATAAGCAAGGCCGGTCCTGAGAATTCGGAGGCCCTGTGTAATGAAAAAAATTGAGCCTTTTTTCCACGTTCCAAACAAAAGTGATTTGTACTAAAACGTTGATAACAATGTCCTTGGATTGTAAATGTCAAACAAAGCAGAATTATTCGGCCTATCGGCTAAAACGTTGATAACAATGTCCTTTTTATCAAGATTCTCAACATGTCGTTACCACAATGATCGGATATTTCAACATTGTTTTCAACATCTACATTTTGTTGTTCACCCTCTTGAACCTCGCTAGTCTCTTTAATAATAAATTTATCAAGAGTTCCTTTTTAGACAATGTTAACTTATCAATTCTTCTTTCGTTTAGAAGCTTCTCATGACCGGAAGGGTATTTCTTTGGAAACATAATGACTAGCAAATACCAGGGGTGGGCGCGGTCCGGAACGGTCCGGGAAATTAGTAAAAACCCGTAATGTATCTGTGGGTTTTCTAACGGTCCGGTACGGTCCGGTTCTAAGGATGGAACCATTCGGTACCATGTCGTTTTGGAACGGTACAAAACGGTACGGTACAATGCCAAACACATGCTAAAAAATTGGACAAATCTTGCAATTAATAAATAACATCACAGCAACCAACTCACATTTAGTATTGATATAAATTATAAATACAAGAAATTGCATACGTAGTACTAAAGTTGACAAACACATGCACAAATAGTGCAACACAACTAAGAAAAGGTATATCAAAATGATGATACACGAGATAAATATCGCCTTTCATTTACTAAGTTCATGTGAAAATCTAAAAAGAGTATCATCAAATTGTTCAATATATAGAAAAAGTAACGTTCTTCTTCTTTGTTTTAGGTTAAATATTATTTCTAATTTAATTTATAGTTGAACCGTACGAGCTAAAATTTAAATCATACTAGTATTAATTAAGTTGTACAATTGCACAAACATGATATAACAAAAAGTCATATACACTACATTACTAGAAATGAATAGTCATTAATGATTTTTAAAATTTTAACATTCTTTAATACATACCAAAATATAACACAAAATTATTTAAAAAGAAAAAATAACAATATACATATAAACACACACATGCTATTTTAGGGGCACATGAATACATATTTGGGTATAAAATTGTTGGTCTATAAAATATATTTATTGGTATGGAAGAAAATATAAAAAAAAAATCAAATGCATATTTTTAAATGGTCTGGTCCGGTTCTTTTCGATTCTCAAAATCTAGGACCGATCTCGTACCCGTTTCAAACGGTACGGTTTCGGTTCAGGATAAAAATCTATAAAACCGTTTAAATACCCGATATTCGGTACGGTACCATTACGGAACAGTTTGGTAGCGGTTCGGTTCGGGTTTTATGCCCACCCCTAGCAAATACCAATTATTCAAGTTCTCCCCTCCTGTACATGTTTAAAAAATTTAGATTAAAATTAAATTTACATTAATCAATTTCTTAATTGAACAATTTTTATGCCTCAAAACAAAATTGAAAAATTTTTAAACACACTTATTCTCAATTCAATTACTTAATTAATAAGTAATAAATTATTAAAATAAATAAGCAAATAACAATAATGCAAGTAGGCAACAAACTGAAAAAGAACAAACAAATTCTACTAATTTGCAATTCAAAAAATCAAATAAATAGCAAAATCATAGACTGGTGATAGTACAGGCGTACAACAGTGCTTACCGGGCTAGTGAAAATTGTGCAATGGCGCGGTCATAGTCCTGGTCTCATGGAGCTAGAGGCGGCCGTCGTTGCGTGGTGGCAGGCTAGAGAAGTGAGACTTGAACCTCATTGGCGACGAACCTCTTGTCCCCTGCATCCTTCGACCTTCACAGTTCGTTTCAAGCTTGGCGATTGGACTTGGCGATTTGCAGATTGGACTTGGCGACTTGCGGTTCCTTCCGTTTCTTTCAATCGTTCCTATTTCCATTGGCTTCAGATGGTCGGATCTTGGGCTAAGTAATACTAATAATAATTTTTTTGAGTCTTCCAAATTAAAGGGCCCTATGTTGGGCTGGGAGCGCCTGCCCTGGGCCACCCCTGTCGATAAGCATGGTGCGAGATAGCTCAAGACTGCTCAAGTAAATGTCTATGTTTTCGTTAGCAACACTATTTTGCGCAGGTTTATTCGGGTAAGATTTTCGAAAAAGGATACCACATTTTCATCACATGATTTTATTTCTAATTTAGGTGTTAGCCTAGTGTTACATACTAATAGCAAGTGAATCACATTATATGTAACACCGGACCCGAATTTTTACCCAGATAATTTTTTTTTTTTCGTAAAGTACTTGGTTAAAGAAGGTAAATCAAGACTAAGAGTAGTCTCGATAAATGAGAAAGTAAAATTTTGTCCTAAATTAATAAAGGGTTATTAATTTAGACGTGGGACCACACGTGGTATTTCAAGTTTATAAAACATTACTATTTTCCAAAACGATACTATTATGATAGTAGGAATGGGTCGTGGACCCCATTGTTATAAAGAGCGACAACTGGACGGCCGAGCGGGCCAGGGCCACTATTCGATAGTGGGGAGTCCTTAATTATCGGACTGTCAATAATTCGTAGGACTACGAATTTATAACAGAAGAAATATAAACATTTTAAGAAACCAAAATAATGGGATGAATAATATTGATTAACTTGGTATATTAAAGGAGGGTACTTTTGGAGGACCCTACCTTAAAGATATTTTATTTTGGGAACAAACAGATAAGATTTTATCTGTTTTTACATTTGGGATCACTTAAAAAGATGTGTAACATTTTATTAAAATGTCACAAGATATCAATACACATATTGACTCATGAGAAATTGCTAATGAATTTACGAGATGACGTGTTCTCATTTTTACTGTTACTTGAACAGTAAAATGCACGTTGGGCCTACACTAGGAGCGGGGACCATCTGATATTTCCGGAACCACATATTATATTCATCTTGGTCTAGATAATATTTATATGAGGGTGTAAATAAATGTTGAGCCATAAAGTTGGCCTTTCGATCAAACGGAGTCCCATTACCGGTATATGTAATTAAACAGATAACAGCCCGAAATTAATTTCGGCGACCACGAAATTAAAGTGGGATAATATATATTCATTCTAAAGTCCAATAGTAATTGGAAGAATGATATATATTTTATTTGACCCGATAAAATGAAATTTAATTAAAACAGTCCAGAAAATACAACTTTTGGGGCCAAACGTACACTTCGGGACTTATTGGGATGACCTCCCACATGAGTGGGGGCCACCCCACGATTTTTGGTCTTGCAATAAGTGTGTAGAGCCATGTTGAAATAGTGGAAATAATTAGAGGTGATGGGGGAACAAGAAATGTCAAACAAGGTCTCTCTCACACTCCATCATTGAGAGAAAAGCCAAATTAAGTACTCCCCTCCCACATGGACTTATAGTACGAATCATGGAGCCAATTAAGAGGATTAAGGTCTGCATATCTTCACCTTCAACCTCCCAAAACCGAGCTCAAGCATAGGGATGCTCAAGGAAGAAGAAAGAGTGGAGAAAGTAAAGAAAACTTAGGGGAAAATCAAGGTAATAACGTCATTAGTATTTTTCCTCCTTCATTTAACCTTATATGATTTTATAAATCATATTATGGACCCTTAATCTTGTTCTACACTTCTAGAGGTGTAGAATGAGGATTTGGAAGGTTAAGTTTAACCATAAACGGAGTTATGACCGGAGCAAGGCCGGTTCACCGGAAAACACCTTCTTGGAAGGTTTTGACATTTATACCACTTTTGGTTGTGAAAACTTGTTAGGAATTTTACCAAGGTATTCTAGACTTCTCGAGGAATCTAGGAGTGGCCGGAAAATTCGCCGGAGCCGCCGGAGTTTTGCCGGAAAATTTCAAAAGTCACCGGAGTTCAAACAAAGAGGATAAAAGCTTGCTAGCGTCATTTCAAGGTGAGTGGACGACTACGTGTCTTGTAACTCTTGGGTCAAACGTGGGATTACCTAAATAAAATCCTTATCATGATTTGAGGAATGATTAAATGGATTAAAATGCATGATTAGTCATGGGGAATATGAATTATGGAAATATTACATGATTAATGAATAAGAGATTTATTTGTGGATTAATCATGAATATATTATTGTCAAATGTATTAAAAAAAATGCATACATGGACTATGTATGAGATGACTAGAGTAATCTAGTATGTGAATATGTATAGAAATGTTTAAAAGTGTTAAACATGTGATTAGCTATAATGAGTATAAGTTATGTGAAAATGGCATGATTAATGAGTAAAAGAATTATTAATATTTTGATGAAGAATAATCATGGATGATATGGCTAAAGTAATTCAAGATGGTATTCTTGAAGGATTCAAGTACATAATCATACATGTCATTAAATTAAATCTAGTTATGAAGAATAAACTAGAACGAAATATATAAACGATTAATAAGTATGAAGTACTTATTAATAGTTGTGAGAAGACGGCTTTATGCTTCATAACTTTTGAGTGAGGCATAGATTACCTAAAGTAATCAAGAATATATTTTATTGAATGATTAAAGATAATCAAGTATGTGTTATGCCATGATTATATGTAAAATATAGTTGAAAGGCATGTTAAGTAAGCTTGATGATTTAAAATGTGATAATTAATTATGTATGATGTTCCAAGGACCCAAAA